TGTGTGTGTGTGTGTGTGTGTGTGTGTGTGTGTGTGTGTGTGTGTGTGTGTTCGTCGAAAAAACCTCCTACGTTTTGATAAGACCCGAGCATAGTCTTCCTCATCGCCTACCTTTTGCTTAGCTCATTTCGCCAAGCCAGCCTCAATTCTTTTGTTTGAAACTTATAATAGATATCTATGTCTTAAAACAACTTTTCCATTTAAGAAAAAGTCTAAAATCGTGCTCCCTTTATTTCCTACCTACCCCCACCCCAAACCTCTTACCTGCAAAAAAAACAAAAAAACATAAAAAAACCCACAACCGTTAACCAAACAACGACAACACCACCACCACCACCACCAACAACAACATCAACAACAACAAAACGAACATTCATAACAGCCTGCAATAATTTAACAGAAAAGGCGAAGAGAAACTGCAACCAGCAAAAACTAATGAGCATGAGTAGCAACACAAAGTACTGTTGAGGCAAACACTACCTATCAAGAAAACAATACACCAGCACACGTGGACCAAAAAAAGAAGCTCGTTCTACTCAAAAAAGGCGCAGAATTGTGATCTCTTACACAGTGTCTATCTTACAGAATCTGCCTACCAGATTGAAGATAGCTTGACTATAATGACGCAGACGGATGATTTTTCGACACCGTTTCTATCTTACAAAATCTGCAAACCAAATATTCCTAAGCTGATACTGATTTGGCAACTATGCGGTTGGGATTTTAATTACGTGCGTTTATTTTTCTACAGTTCAGATGTAGCCAAAACAGGGGGAATAACTTTCGGATACCTAGCTCTCAATTTAGACTAGCCAGAATGATCGAGGTTAATCAAGAAAGAGTGATTTCATAAGCAATAACACATAAAGGAGAGTTCGCGTTTAATTCATTACGTGAATGTGATACTTGTTTTGGCTCGCAAAGCTGGTTCATTGAGTGGAGCTGAAACTAAAAGAAAAATCACTAAAAACCATACCCAATCGGACAAAAAGCAACACAATCAAACCCAGAAATTACTCGCAAATAGAAAGAGGCAAGAAGTCTCAACATCTGACTCGGCGGAGTGATAGTTTAGCAAGTTATACTGAAAAATAATTCTGAGAAACCTTCGCTCTCGGTAAAAACAACAAATTAAATTCAGACACATAACACACACACACACACACAAACAAAAAGAGCAAAAAGATGCAAGACGTTTCAATATAATCTGACGCGGCGAAATGATTGTTTATCGAGTTAAGCTGATAAAGCATTCTGAGAAACCTTCGTTCTAAGTAAAAACAACCAATTCGGATACATAACTCCCACAAGAACAGAGGTAAAACGTCCCAACATAAGACACAGCAAAGTGATACTATATCAAGCTATGCTGATAAGGAATTCTGAGAAACTCTCACCGTGGATCAAAACAATACACCCAAACACATAAGACATTCAAGAACAGAAAGAGGTAAGAAGTCTCAGCATTTTGTCCACCACGGCGGAGTGATAGTGTAGTGAGGTATGCTGAAAAGAAATTCTGAGAAGCCTTCACTGTGGAACAAAACAACATAATCAGATCCCCCCCCCCCAAAAAAAAACAACACACACACACACCCCACAACAACAACAAAAACAAAACAAAAACAAAAACAAAAACAAAAACAAAACAAAACCTCCCCCCAAAAACAACAACAACAACAGAAAACAACCTCCAAACAAACAAACAACCACACACATGAAAAGAAAGAAATGAGAAGTCTCAACACCTGTCACGGATCCACTCACCTGTCGCTTGCCCAGGTGTTTCACCGAGCACGGAAGGATCGCCATCTTCCCCCTGAAGACGCTGATAAATCGCTGAGTGTTGAGGAAGTAAGGGGCATCCTCCTCTTCCCCCTCCTGCTGCTCGTCGCTGACCATTCTCGTACCTGAGTTGCTGCTGCTGACCTTTGTAACGTTCTTCTTGACCAAGCCGTCGGCGAGCCCTGTGAGGACAAAGGATTTCTTATTTGTTGGTACATTGTATGTGTTTTTTTTGTTTTGTTTGTCTGAGTAAAGAGAGCCACAGTGACATTATACAAAGTAATCGGCGCTTTTTTTTGTTTGAATAAAGAGGAGTACACCAACACAGTAACGGTTACATTGTACTTGTAATGTTTGTTTTTAAGTAAAGAGAAACCATCGCGTCGACTCAATAGGTATGTTTCTTTCGGGGGTTTTGTTTTTCGACATACTAACGATTATTTCCTTTGGTTGTAAATTAGTAAAGAGGAACATAGTCAAATGTCGGACGTTAAGGAAACGAAAACGTGTAAGACAAGCAACAGAGAGGAGACGCTGAGTGACAGAAAAAAAAGTAAAAACTACTTGTGACACCATCCAACTAACCATTCGGACACTCTGGCCGGTTTGAAAAAAAAGCAAACCTTAACAACCCCCCCCCCCCCACACACACACACATATGCAAAGGAGAGAGAAAGCAACGTATATATTAAAATGTCTAAAACACATGTCTGAGAAGAAGAGGATAGCGTTCTTGGGTTGCTGTTGTTGATTTTTTCACAATTTGTTTTTGTTCTCATTTTCACATTTTTCTGGGTGTTAGTCTGAACTGCGGTTTTGACGACCCTAGTTTGAATCCACAAAGGAGGACTTTTGAACTTTGAAGAGGACGTGGAGTTCCTGGTCTCTCAAGCCACTTGGCCCATCCCCATGTGATATGGCCTTTTGCGTCGAAGGCCCTATTTCTTACGAAAAGTTTTTGTGTCCAAAGCGGGGTTAAACTCTCTACCTAAACCATCAAAACCAATAAAACCAACAAAACTTTACCAAACCCCTACCCTCGTTCTCCTCTCACCTTTCCCATTTTGCCCTACATTATAGTCTGGGGAGATCATTTTTCTGTAAAGACTTACACTAATGGGAACATCTGACTTTTGAACAGCAAACAACACTGAGCATGCCAGATACGTAGTGCTATAATTGATTTAGGTTAGACGTGAATGCCAAATCCGAAAATAATCAGTCGAAAAAGGAAAGAGCGCCATTTTGAGCATGTTTTCAACGGGGAAGACAAGAGAATTATAAAAACAGAATTAATGTAAGAACCAACAAGTACAAGCGGCCGGATAAAGTCTCTTAGAGGAATGCATTCAAGAAATTGTTAGTATGCGGATTACATCATATCTCAACGAAGAGGGAAAGTGAAAATTGTAAGTTTGCAATAACAAACTGTTGGCTTGTTTGGACAAACTAGACCGGAACAAATGATTAAGAAATCGGAGAGCTTTGACCTACAGGGTAAAAAAACACCGTTTGCGGCAGAGGGCAGGAAAATTAAATAATTTTTAAAAACAAGCAAAGGCGATATATCACATTGAATATCATGCTTATAAATAAATGAACAAATCCTCGACACTTTAAGCAAACGAACACATAGAAACTTCAAATGTATATAATAAGCAATAATGAGCAAAAATATTTTGCTTAAATTGCTGGAAGGACAACAATGATTATATATTAATGGATTTGAAATATGTAATATATTGTAGAAAAAATTAAGTGTATTCAACCCTTGTACTCTATTCATTTTTCATTTACCTAAGAGCTTAGTGCGTATCATTTTACGTGTGTTGTTTTCTGTGCTGTAATTTTTTAAAGCGATCCTGCTCATGTATCTAATAAAAGCACAGCTTCGTGACTTTCTTTTATCTGCAGGGCATCCGTTGTTTATTTCTCATGCAGGAGGTTCCAGCCACAACAGAAACCGGGGCTGATTAGTTGAGTCTGTGTGAAGAAAGAGATTTTGAGATGCAGTCAGGGCTATACATACTCTAGAGTCAGGGGTATAATGATGTCTACACGGAAATACCTATCATTATGATGAAGGCATCTCTTGTTTGAATCTAGCACCCAACTGCATACAGTGTAACGTATACCTTGTTTCAAAGGAGGAAGAGAATGTGCTTGTGTCTACAAAAACTGCAGCACGAAAGAAAGAGCTGAGAGAAAGGAGAAACGGGGAACAGGGTGGGGGAGGGGGGGGGT